AAAAAAAAAAAAAAAAAAAAAGATTCCTGGTGTTAGTTTTTTCTCTGCAATTTTCTTCTTAGAAATATTTACTTACTGGAGCCAGAGGGTCTGTAGAGATGAGCCCGTACAGGTTTTTTAGAGTAAGTTCCGAGGAACATCGCACTATCAAAGATGCTGTGCTAAAAAGGACTTCCATGCCAAGTGAATGTGAGGAATGCTGCATACCTTTTTCCCCTTGGAGATTCATGACACATGGAGGTCTTTTTAGAGGCTCTGTGCTGTCCTGTGATAGATAAAGCCAACTAACTTCTTTTTATCAAGTGTTCCCTAATCTGCAGAATCATTAGATGTTTAGTATTATAGAATATTATTTTTGCCAAAGCTGTGTCTTCTGTTTAGAACATCTTTTGGCCTTCATCAACTCTGTCTGCCAGTTCTGTTCTTTAGGATTATTCGGACATCACCTCCTCTGTGGATCTTTTCAGGACTCTCCTAGATAAAATTAAGAATGGAGATCACTCCACCTTTGCAACTATTTATGGGATGTTAAATTACAGCAGAGATGACGTTGTGTTTTCTTGCTTCTGCGAGACAGAATGATTGAAGGAACACAGACCCTGTTTTATTTATCTTTCGTTTTTTAATTTTTCTTCTCTGCTGCCTGGCCAGTGCTTATCTGTGGTAGGTGTGCCAGCATTCATTGAATGGAGTGGGTTTGCTAGCATTCAGAGCATGAAGAAGAAAAGCTGCATTTGTCAGGAAGTCATTCTTCCTCATTCTGAGCATCCCAGTTAACATGCCTTTCCACCAGCTGGAAGGAAGTAGTATAGTACTAACTGTTCTGTAGAATTTGGAAAGAAATCCTTCTCCCAGCAAAGACTGTAAGAGGGCTTTGTGTGCTAATTCGGGGTTATCCCCTCTTCATCTCAGAGCATTAAAAACAAGGGCTTTTTTAAAATAGAAAGTATTCACTCAAAATATCACATATCTAAAACTTCTTAAAATACAGAAGCTATAAAGTTTGTTAGTGGGCTAAGAATTATAGTAAGTTGTATTATGCCATAATCTACATATACTAACAGACCACTTTCATAAGTATGTACTAGCCCTGTTGAGTTGACCACTTAGAAGTATATTCAAACTGCACTGCCACGTTTCCCCAAAGATAACGAGTAAACATAGGAGAAACGTACACTGCAGCCTTCATGTAACACTGTCTTGGGATCTTTTTGATGAAAACCCAAGTGGTGAAAGAACAGAGGTTTTCATTTCACTGTGTCATGCATTCTGTACCAGTGCCCCCAAATTAGGGCAGGATGTACTGCCTTGCTGAGAACACCCCCTTCCCCCACAGTAGTAGCATAGGAAGTTCCAGCCTACTTCTGTAGTGTAACATCTCCCTTGGTTTATGCATCACTTGTCTTGTAGACATTCCCAG